TGTTAGGAGCTCCCTATTGGGAGCTTCTTGATTTCTCAGGAGTTTTTGTGTTGTTTTACTTTTGTTATAATTGTTTTCATTTGGTAAAAACGCTCTTTTTTTCTCTTCTCTTTCCTCTTTTGTGATTGTTCAATATTATTCTAAATAACAGAGAAGTATTTCTAGGTTGAATTTCTGTGAAATGATCCAATATCCTGTGACACAAATGTGGATTGAGAGGATGAATTAAGAAAAATGGTGTGAGACTACCTGAGAAAGGAAGTATTACATTATTATTTTTGCTTTGCCAGGATCTAATGTAACATGAATCAATGTGAAGCAAACTTTAACGAATGCTTTTAAACTTTAAGTAGTAAACCAACTGTCAAGAACTTCTGAACTTTGATTTCTACACCCCTTATTTATGGAACTCCCTCGCTCAATCTCTTCGCCTTGCCCTCTCTTTGTCTATCTTGAATTCCCATCTGAAAACTGCTGCTGATGGTCACCTCCACCTCTTCCCTTACTCAGTGTCCAGCCCTGGCATTGTACTACTGTGAGACCTATCCTGTGCAAGAGGCGCTACATAAATGTTTGTTTGTTGTTTGAAGTGTAAAAGGTGCTCGGGGTGATAGCTGATCTGTCTTCACCTTATCTGGTTGCAGCTCAGCAGAGCACTGCTCTGCTCAGCTCCACTCCAAGAGCGGTGTGGCTATAACCGAGGCATTTAAGGACCGGATTTATTTTTCCAGGTTTCACTTTGAATAAATCTATATGAATAAACCTATTCTGAGTAAAAAACAAAAATCACAAATGTGTGCTTCTTCTAGGCAAAGGCTGCTTATTACGAACAATATCACAGACACTTGCGTCATCTTTTCCCTCAGACGCAGTCCCGCAGGGCCTCAGTATATTGACACAAAAGACAGATTGGTGCTCACTGTTTGTTCTATTGTCGAAACTGATTGATGAACGAACTCTCCACGTCCAGTCCATAGCAACAGAGCCGTTTTTAGCCTGACAGTAGTACATTTCATTGCTAGGGAGGTTAAAGTGCATCTGCTTTCTTTTACTAACACTCGCACCTCTCTTCCTCTCTACAAATGAAAGGTATTGTGAATCACACCAGAAAGGCCACCAAGACAGGCAGGTGGTCAGTGGATATAAATATCAACCACTTTCATAGTAACAAGTGAAACTTTTTCCCTTTTTATTGATAATGTTAGAAGACTATGAGACACATGGATCACTTGAAAAACATCAGCAGGACAAAAGCAGGGTAAGTCAGGATGATTTATAAAGTAATTCCAAATCCTTTTAGTTTTTATTTGCTCCCAATGCTACCACTACAGAATATAAAACACACAATTGAAAGCTTCTGTCCTATGTGGGTGCATTAACACTCTTGTGTCTGGAGGAAATATGCAAGTATGATCCAGAGCAAAAGTCTTAGCAGGAGATTGCAGGAGATCTGTCCTTATGGATATCATACCTTCATTGAAGGATCCTAGTCAATAACTCAGGGTCCCAAATCACAAGTCTGACCTGCATACACAGAGCTCTGCTAACAAGTGAAGTGCTGTAGATCATCCAGAACTCTGCAGCCCGTGACCTCTCCCCGCACCAGGCTCTGCGACCCTATCACCCCCATCTTCGCCCGAATCCACTGGCTTCCCATCACACAGAGGATACAGTTCAAGATTCTGGTCCTCAATTTCAAAGCCTCCATGGCCTTGCTCCCCACTACTTCTGCGACCTCCGAAATCCCTACCAACCTGCCCGCTCCCTCCACTCAGTGGCTTCCAGCCTACTTCACATCCTCCGCTTCACCCATCCCACCATTGGCGGGTGGGCCTTCAGCCACTCTGCCCCCACCCTCTGGAACTCCATCCCACAGTCTCTCTCTGCCATGCCACCACCCTTGCTTCCTTCAAAACCTGCCTCAAGACCCTGCTCTTTGACCATGCCGTCGGTAATCCTCCTTCCCCCTTACCCTCCACCCTCTCCGATCCTGACCCCCCAGCTTGGGCCCGAAACACTGACTGTCCAGCTCCTTGGGACATCCTTCTGACGTGAAAGATGCTATACAAATTTAATTTTGTTGTTGTTGTTGTTCTGCTACTAGGAATTCCTTTGAAGGCTAGTGACTATTGTTATGTTGATCAAATCATCCTCTAATCTAAATCAGCAACATCCCACAAACAACATTTGANTTTTTTCAAGTGAATTTGAATGAGGAAGAAAAATTAACCGTCAGAATTTCCTACTCTGAGATATAACGCCACAAATGGTGAACTCAGAATTGGAACTCATCATTGGCTTGTAGACCCCCAGATTATCCAAGCCAGTGTGCTGGGTTTGCCCAGCAAATCCCACTGGACTTTTAACTAAAATAAGGTTTAAATGCTATTTAAATTTCTATGCTGTGTGGACACAAGGGACATAAATGTTGAACTACTCTGCTTAAAATATATGGTCAGACATTGTGACTGGAGAAAAAAATAACATTCTATGTTAAGCCTCAAGCTTTGCTTTTTGGTAAATCGGGAGCTTGTCCCTGGAGAGATTTAAGCGCCTGGAATTAGCAATGTCTGTATAAATTGCTTGGTGTGCTACAGGAAACAGCCTAGAAGCTTTGGTCAAAGTCATTAATGTATTGATCTTGTGTATAATTTATGCAGTCTACAGTCTACTCATCAGAATGGGTTTGAGTTGACATGCAGATCCAGACACACACTAGGTAAGAATATATATGGTTGTTAGGGGCTTTGTGCCATTCTGCTCATTGATGCATCATTAGAAAAATTCACCATGATTCATTTTTTAAATTACCGTGAGCATTTACAACAACAACTTGCACTTATATAGCACTCTCCATGCCGGGTAGCATCTCAGAGTGCTTAACAACAACAACAACAACAAGATTGCATTTATGGAGCGTCTTTCATGTCGGGAGGACGTCCCAAGGCGCTGGACAGTTGGGTCGGGACCCGAGCAGGGGGGAAATGGTCAGGGTGAGGGGAGAGAAGGGAGGGAGCGAGGAGGGGGTTGAGAGGGGAGCTGAAGGCACGGTTGAAGAGGAAGGTCTTGAGACCAGCCTTGAAGAGGAAAGGGAGGAAGCAAGGCGAAGGCACTGGGGGATGGAGTTCCAGAGCCTAGGGGCTGAGAGGCTGAAAACTCGGCCACCGATGGTAGGGCGGTTAGGGTGGGGGATGTGGAGCAGACTGGAGCCAGAGGAACGGAGGGTAGGGGCAGGTAGGTAAGGGGATAGTAGGTTGGAGAGGTAGGAGGGTGCAAGGCCGTGAATGGCCTTGTAGGTGAGGATGAGGATCTTAAATTCGATCCTCTGGGGGATGGGGAGCCAATGGAGGCGAGCGAGGGTGGGAGTGATGTGGTCCCGAAGCCTGGTGCGGGACAGTACACGAGCTGCAGAGTTCTGAATGACCTGCAGCTTATGGAGGGAGGTGCCGGGAAGGCCGACGAGGAGAGAGTTCCCGTAGTCCAGCCTTGAGGTGATAAAGGCATGGGCCAGAGTTTCAGCAGCGTGAGGGGTGAGGTAGTGCCGTAGTCTGGCGATGTTCCGGAGGTGATGGAAGGCGGTGCCAACTGTGGCGCGGATGTGGGGAAGAAAGGACAGCTCAGGGTCGAACAGAACGCCGAGGTTCCTGACTGGCTTTGAGAGGTGGAGAGTGCAGCCTTGGATGCTGATGCTGTCAGCGCCTGAGGTGCGGAGGCGCTGACGCGAGCGTGGCAGAGCTTGACTCTGAGCCGGGGGGAGGGGGGAGGTGTTTGTATTTATATTTATGTTTATAGAATAAACATGTCAGAATAACACCAGATGATATCATCTTAAAAACCCATCTGGTGTCAGGTTTAAACTCACTCAGTTTGTTACTCATTGAATCAGCAGGTTGTGCTTTCAAGCCCTATTTCAGGACTTTGAGCTCATAATCTTGCCGGACAGTCCAATGCAGTGATTGAATGTTGCATTGTCAGGGGTGCTATCCTTTGGATGAGATGTTAAACTGTATCCTCTGTGTATGCCTATTCAGGTAGACGTGTCTCCTGGTGTCCTGGCCAATAATTCCTAGGTAAAATTGGTCGTTCACTTCATGTCTGTGGCACATTGCTGTGCACAAATTGGCTGCTACATTCACCTACAAATACATAATGACTACACTTTACTTTGTATCCTGTGGAGCATTTTGAGATGGTTTGATACCATATCAAATGCAAGGATTATAATTCTTTATTATCTCTTTGACTCTGCTTTTTGTTTAAAATTCTCAAACTGATCTTTCTCAGACCCTGTTCGGTGATCGATATCATAAAGAGCTTCTGGACATTAAACTATGTGGAAGCTTTTGTTTCAGTTTTTAGCAATGCAAGACTTTAAGAGGTCTATTGGCAAGGTTACTTTTGTAATTGAATGAAATAATTCCAGTATTTTTTTTAATGTGTGCAGAAATGCACCGCAATTTTGTCTGTGGTAAGCAAATTAAAAACAAAGTTTATGTTAAGACGGGAGCATGCGACTGATGGCTTGCTTACTTAAATAAGAAAGGAAATATTTTAAGGTGCTTAAGATATAAAATTAGTGTTACATTTGAAGACATAAATTACTCTTTCTGCTGCCTCAGGTCAACCATTTACTTCCCAAGTATATTCATAAATGACTTTCACTTGTCTTAGCTCTCTTATTCGCCCAGAACAAAATGCGGGGGTTGGGGGATGATATTGTGTGATACAGCTTGCAACTCAAGCCACAGTAATTGTTGGGAATTCTCCGTGGTGTCAGTGGCTGTTGAATCACACAGCCCTGATTAACTCTGCTGCCTATGGCCCCTGGCTCATTCTGTTGGATTGCAGCCAAACTACAGAGAAGTGGCGAGACAGAAATGCGGTGCACTGATGGGTTTCCGAAAACCTCACCAGCAGCTCCAAGCACTTTCCATTTCTGGGTTTTACAATGCAATTTTTATTGTGACTATTAGGAACCTGACTCCATATCAACTTGCAGGCACCCAAAGCAATGCTTCTGGGGAATGTGTCAGGACCTCTTCTGCTAATGCGGGAAATCTTTTTGGTGCAGGTGAGTGAACTGGGATTTTACAAGTAAAAATAACGTGCGGTTGGAAACACAGCAGGGCATTTTGCATTGTACTAAAAAGTTCCTTTTATTATTGTGTTGCCTTTTATTGTTCATTGACATCGCTGATTATATTTCACGTGTGGTCCAGTGTTGTAATATTTTACATGATTTATAAACAAGTGATCCTTATTTATATAAGGATTTGCCTGTCTTTTTTTCAAATGGTGATTGTGTTGTGTGGTGGGGAGCTCCAATTGATGCAATAAGACCTGCAAGAATCTATCTAACTATCTGTAGTTTCCCAAACTTTCATTTTAATAATAATAAAACTTGCATTTGATACAGCACCTTATTACGTCTTCTAGACGTCTCAAAGCACTTCACAGAATATACCGTAAAGTGAATTGACTATGTTTTGTGGGGCAAAATGCGGCAGCCAATTGCGCTCAGCAGTGTCCCACAAACAGTCGCTTGAGAAAATTCAGCCTCCTGATTGTGACTCCCAGGGACTGCAGATTATGGCCAAATGAGTGTTGCAGTCTGGCTCCCTCTCTGCCTACAATTTGATACAAGACAGGCCACAAGGATGGCGGGTGGGGGGGGTGCGGAATGTAGTGCAAAATGTCACTCTAGTGCATGTCCTCATCTCAGGGTGAAGTTACTATCTTTGTTATTGAGCAGATCCAGCTTCAGACAGCATCTCACCTGCATGGCCTTTAACCGGGGAATGCTTGCTGTTGTCACTGGGTACAGCTCTGTTCCTCAGCGCTGACATCTCTCTTGTTAACGAGCAAAAAATTCCTCTCTTCCCACTACTGATGCTGTTCAAATTTAGATAGTGTCAGGCAACCAGCCCACACTGAGTTCAGGGTGTCTGAAACAAGTGGATGGATCTTAAATTGGAAAGAAAGAAATGCGTATATATTTGGTAACATGGGGGTGGCTACCATTTCTGGCATATTCTGGTAATCCAACTGTGTGCAGACAAGCACTTTGTGCACTTTGACAGTGTTTTAACTGAAATGATTCTGGCTCTCAGCAGGTCAGCCAGCAGATTGGGTTAGCAGCAAAAGCATATTTTTCCTGTCACAAGACAGACACATAAATAAGATTTATGTTTAGCATACAGACAGATTAACATTTAGTTTGTTATTCATCCCCTAACCCTGGAAAACTCATGAATGATAATTGGGTTCTACTTCACCCTGCTAACATTGATGTGAATACTAGATATTAATTAAATCACACATTTCAAATGGCTACTAGAACCAAGTGTGATCCTAATCCGATGTCAGAGCTGTCGCTGTCGCTGTCTCTGTCTCTCGGATTCCAATTATTTTCTGTTTATCAGATATTGTGACATCAGCTCCTCCCTACTTTTCTAAATCGGCACAACGAGATATTGATCCTGATCTTACTTAAAGCTACGCTGTGTGTGTAAATCTCATCTGACTGCAGAATTCCATCTTTAATTGCCACTCACAAGGACTCTGTATATGAATAGGAACCTCACATAACATTTTATGCAATTACCCGACCCTTTCTCCTTTTCTGATTCAGCCTGACTCACATTGTTTCTTTGTAAACCGCAGTGAGAATCAGGATCAATGTTGCATTATTAATAAATAAGTAACCCTTACATTAGATACAGTGCCTTTCATGACGGGGGAACATCTCAAAAAGTGCTTCACAGGAATCACTATCAAGTATAGTGGCTGTCTATTTTATAGATGAACGCGGCAGCCAAGTTGTGCACAGCAATGTCCAACAGATAGCCATGAAGTAAATGATCAGTTTTAGGTGAGGGATTGTTGACTAGGACACCGGGAGAAACTCCCTTGCCTTTTTAAATGGTGACATGAAATCACTAACTTGCACCACAACAAGTAAACAGGACCTTGATTTAATGTCTCATCTGAAGGACTGCATTTCAACAGTGAAGCGCATCCCCAATATTGCAACGTGTAATATGGTTGTGGACTGATTATCTGTGCAATGACTATAGCTTCTTGGACATGCTGCAGTCTTCAACATACTCCACATGTAGTATTGTGTGAAATATGCAAGTGCCAATAGATTTGTTGTACGATTAAAGATATGATTTGAAACTGAAGAACTATTTGTCTGCTGTAATGTCATGGTTTGCTTCACAGCTTGTTCCTAAGTGAATAACATATTTTGGGTACCGTATTGTCTTGTAACACACTCCCAGGTATCATTTATTTTGTGTTTTCCATTTACCTAGAAGCACTGTTATTAAACAGGGAGTTGATAGACAGGAGTCAAAGGAACATTGCTCTCATTAGAGCTCTTTGATACTTTAGAGTCAATGGAGTTGCAACGTGTCCACAGACAGCACTACTCTATTTACTACCTGAAGCGAATGTCTGGTTCCACACTTCCAATGGACAATCTGATTGTAACCGAAAAATCCAAAAATTGCCGCAGCAAGTGGTGTACTATTGGCAATTTGTTTTCTTGCAACAGGAGACTGTTTACTTAAATTCATTTCTGAAGTACGTTTAATTGAATTTCAGTGACGTTTGTCATTTGTAATTGAGTCACACAGCATGCAATAAGGCTGCTGAAACAGGCAACAGATGGAGTAAAGCAGTGTGTTCAAACAGCAGAGGCAAGTACAAAGATAGAAATTAAACAGATTTGTTTTTAAGTTGTAAGGAGTCTACTGAGTAATTTATGATTCACATGTTCTTAGTTGTGGGTGACGACATGGAGGTTTGTGGAATTTGAAGGTGGGTTTCTGGAAAGAGCTGATGTTCTCAGTATAGTTCATACAAGGAATGAATGTTAGGAGAAGTGTGAGTGGGAGAGCGGAGGAAGGAATGCAAGGGGGAGAGCAGAGGAAGGAGGTTGTGGGGGAGAGAGCAAAGGGAGTGTTCCCAGCAAGATCTTTATGAACCGATGATACGTTTTTACTCGTATGAATGCGTTGGTCTTCTTGCATGGTATATCAGATATATTGTCAGAATCAAGTCACCTAATGTCAGTCAGTTTCTATCTTCACTAAATAAGAAGTTGTGTTGTGCACTGGCAATTAGACCAGTGTGTGTCTGTGTTTAGATAAGACATGATTATAACAGGAAAGTGTGGTTTATTTCATATCCACTTGGACAATATGTTGATTTGAAGATTGGCATAGGGCATTTCCTTGAATTTCAGTGATGTTTGTCATTTGTATTTGTGTCACACAGCTTGCAATGAGGCTGCTGAAACAGACAACATATAGAGTAAAGCAATGTGTTCAAACAGCAGAGGCAAGTACAATGATAGAAATTAAACAGATGACCATCCTCACATCCTCACCTGTGGGAAAAAGGGAGTAGAATAGAGCAGGGGAGGAAACATTTATTCTTTTCATCTCAAAATACCTTCTCAAAGACAGAGAGTTTCAACCTGAAAAAAGCCTAAAGTCGTTCAAGACACAACATTTCTAGTGACACAATGTGCACCCAAACAGAACTCAACTTTCCTGTAATCAGATATTCTGTGTTTCCCAACAGGAAACAAATGTTCTGTTTGGTTAGCAGATTGCTGAAGTTAAGGAAATAGATGTGAATAATAAAATTATAACAATTCTTCCATTTCATATAGCGTCATTCACACCGGGAGGCCATCTTCAGGATTTACTAGGAAGTGTAGTGACTGTGTTGCTTGCAGGCAAACTCAGCAGCTAATTTGCACACAGCACTGGCCCACAAACAGCCACGAAGAGAGTGACCAATTTCATTTAGGGAACTGTTGGCCAGAACTCCAGAAGAAACTTTTCAAATAGTGCCAGAGGATTATTAATATCCACCTGAACAGACAGACAGGACTCAATTTAATGTGTCATTGAAGGTCAGCACCTCCATCAATGCAGCACACATCCAGCACTGCATCGGAGTGTCAGTCTGTACTATGTGAGTTCAAAGTCCTGAATTGGGGTTTGAACCCACAGTCTTCTGACTCAGAGACGCAGAGACAGGAGTGCTGCTAATCGACCCTGATTAAAAATTATAATGTAATTGTACATGCTGTTGTCAAAAACTAGTAATTTCTAAACTTAAAATGAGGAATACTTTCAGTGCTTCTTGTCTCCTGGTGATTTACAAAAAGGGAATTATTTAAGACAAACCGTTTTCATACAGAATGTTCTTGGTATCTTTGATGTTAAATCTACAGAAATTATCCTGTGTATATTTCCAACGGGGCTGAAGCTGAGGGTAATGATATCAGCCAAACCACAGCATGATTTGAACGTGCTTTGAAGCAGCCTCATTTTTGCAGTCCTACTTCAGTGCAGAAGCCTTCAGTGTTAAATTTGCCTGATCCTAGCCTTGCTAAGACACTGGAGATCTCAAACAAATGCTCCTGGTCCTGGCTATTTATTAACTGGAATCCTGAATCAAAACTCTTAACAATACAGCAGTTTAAGAACACAATTGTCCAGAGGGTTGGTTAGCTTTATGGCTAGCATTGACTTGAGCCATTGTCACAGTTCCTCGGTGCAGCACAGTTAACTATTAAACTGATGTGAATAGTCAGTTAGAAATGATCCTGTGTTGTCTTGCACAATTCCTTTTCAGAAAGAAGGACCTTCGGTCATATAAGATTCATTTGTAAATGCAGTGCACTGTGTGGAAAACTTCCAACATGAGCAAAGTCTGTAATTGGCAACAGTGAAAATGGCTGCACTTAAAAAACAAACCTGTCAAAATTTGATAGCCTGAAGTCTGGGTGAAGGGAGTCTTTATAAACTGGGAAAGGGTGAATGAGGCAGCAGAGTGAGGCACAATGGTGAAAATAGGAGGAGAGAAAAAAAGAGCCCAAGCGGGATTATGAAAAGGAAGGAAAGAAAAACAAAGCAACAGAACAATGAGAGGATGGAAGTAGACATATTCCATAAAAAGGAACATGACATCCAGTGAGCGCTGCATATGATAGACAGAAAGCTTATCAATGCAATATCTGCAGTCATGGGTTAAGGAAATTAAATTAGAATGAAGCAGGATTGAATTGCTGTCCATTCTTTTGAGATTAATGTTTAATTATGGTGTTATTAATGGGTCTTAAAATGAAAGTGTTTGCTCCTCTCTTTTTTAGCATCTTGACAACACTCTGAACCACAGTGAGAGTGAATGAAGCATGCTGTGTGACAATGTTGACACATCCAATTGAAGAGACAGCTCTCTAACATCAAACACATGAACAGGGATCGAAAAATGAATGTTTTTTGCCGGCAATCCTTCAATTTGGCAACAGTTATCTTTCTGTTGCTAACAACAGCAGGTAGGGAGCTTGGCATCATATAATTTATATTTAGAATGAGGTCTAGATAAGTGTTCCTCTTCCCATTCCTCACTTGAAAAAGGAACCTTTATGATTCTGAAATCCTGTGAAATCTTAACTCCTGTGGATCCTCCTCTTAACAATACAGGATCATTTCTAGCTGACTAAACTAATAGTTAACTATGCTGTCTGGTAACTGTATTTTTTTGGCCAATGCAGCAGTCAATTTGTGCACAGCCACGCCCTGCAAACGGCAATGAAGTGGATGACCAATTTTATTTGTGCGATCGTTGACCAAGACACTGGGGGAAACTCCCTTCTCTTTTGGAAAGTGTCATGGGATGTTTAATGTACACCTGAACGGGCTGACTGGTATCAGTTCAAGATCTCACCAGAAGGACAACACGTCCAACAATACAGCACATCCACAGCACTGGACTGTAAGCCTTGACTTGTGAGTTTAAAGCCTCGATGTGGGAATTCAGCCTACCACCTTCCAAGTCAGAGGCAAGAGTGCCACCACTGACAGAGGCTGACACCTGAAATACAACTATATCAGTTATTTTTAATAAGAATGAGATCTAAGAATTTCCCGTGGGAAAAAGGGAGTAGAATGGAGCAGGGGAGGAAACATTTATTCTTTTCATCTCAAAATACCTTCTCAAAGACATGGAGTTTCAACCTGAAAAAAGCCTAAAGTCGTTCAAGACACAACTTCATTAAAAGGACTCTATAACCCAAGGCTAGGTATTACCATTTCTAGATACATGTACTTACAGTGTTTCAATCCCATTACTTCCTATTCTGACCTGTTGTACTCACAAGGGATCTTGTTTGGGAGAGCAGTGAATATACCTTTGATATTAGTATCTAAGCTTATGCCAGAAGACAGCAGCTTTCTGATATTATTCTCTGAAGAATTTAAGCCAATGGAGCAATTTCAGAAGTTTGTTCAAAGCTTATGATCAATCTCAAGCAATTGTAGTTTAGGCTGTCTCAAACTTTAAGATTTTACACTAGAAATGTACATCGCTGCCAATAACATCACTCTCTCAAATGTTACTCACTTAGGACCATGGCCAAATAAATGTTAAAGGAAATAGAATCATGGAATTTATAGCACAGAAGGAGGCCATTAGGGTCATTGAGTCTGAGCTTGCTCACTGATACAGCTATCCATTCTGTTCCACTTCCCTGCCCTCCCTCCATAGTAAAATAATTCTAAAATACTTTTGGGATTTGCTTCATTTTTTGGTCATCTTTACCAAATCTGTTGTTTTAAATTGTTACTTAATTTCGCCTTTTATTTATGGTCATGTTTTACCTGATTTGTAAACGTGATTTTCTCTCCCAGTCTCCTTCCTTATATGAAGCATCATTTGCTAATCTAGAGGGCAGGGGTTGTTCTCCCATTTGTCTTTCATTATTATTCCATAGGGATAAACCTTGGGTACATTCACAGCTTGGAATTGTATTGAAACAGTACGGAGCTGCCCACCTCGGCCTTCAGGAACATTTCTATTAGTTTTAGGCACAGCTTAATGAAGTCCCTCAAGTCTTCACCATCCAGGTAGATTGGCATTATCCAACTTTCAAACAAGCACTAACTACATTCACTATTTTTCTTTCTTTGAACAGCACTATCAGCACACTTCCGGGTTTGCGAGCCATATGCAGATGGCAAGGGGCGCTATCACTTCGGGTTCCACTGTCCACGTCTGTCCGACAGCAAAAGCTACATGTTCTGCTGTTACCACAACAGCTCAACCTTCAAGTACTGCTGCAACGAGACGGAATTTCAGGCTGTCATGCAGATGAACATGACAGGACAGACAGAAGGCTACATGCATAAGTAAGTGATGGACTCCCACATTGCAGGGAGACGTCTTCTCTCCTGAATGTACCAACATATGATTAATTAGTGACAAGAACAGTTGCTATTTACAGCAGACATATGGGAAAGAAATGGAGATATGATGTGTTAACACTATCCTGTGCATCATTTACACCCCTAGCAGGAAACGAAAGAGTACCGATTAATTGGCAAATTTAATGTTTCACAATTCGTGTTGAAACTAGCTCTGTCTCTCCTGCTTCTTCCAAACGCAATCAGAGCTTGATTTGAAATCTCTGCCGTCACAGTTGTCTTTATTCAAACAAGCACTGTCTAGGCTTGTATAAGAATTTGAGAGGTACCAGAGAGTAACAGGCCCCATGATATTTCACTCCGGTGTGAGTCATTGCCAGAAGAAGAGGGGAGAAAATCAGGATAAAATTAAATTCAAGTTGCTCTCGATGTGGCCTCGCTGTAATCACATCCTAATGGCAAGTCCAAAGCCTGGGTGACAAATAGAGTCCAACTTGTTAACAAGTTTATGAAAAAAGTTGATCCTAAGTCTGGTCTTTTTAAAAAATATTTAAAATTATGGCTTCTTTGTTAAATTGCTTAAAAATTGTTCCAGAGCACATTTCTCTTTTCTTTCCCACCTCCTTGCCCTCACTAACCTCACCAGTGAGTCATTGACTGTACACCAAGGTCTAACCTTTGCAGTTAGCTGGCGTGAGCAACTCTTTTGGCCCAAGCTTACAATCTCTTTGTGAAGTTTGCCAACGGTTAACAAACAGCGTGTGTTTTAGCAGCCTCCCCTTCATCTTTTCGCCCACATCACCGTTCAGTGGAGCAGTTTCCTTCCAATCTGGAGATCATCATTATTTTGGCAAACAGCAAGCATTCTGAACTTTGGGCCACCGGGTTTTCCCAAGAGACCCATTAACTGTCTGCATGTAAAAAGATGGCAATTAGGTCCAGAACATACTTTTGAGAGATATCCTGGAACTGTAATTGCAAATAAAACAAGCAGATGGGTTTCTTTTAATACCAGTCAGCATGATCTTTATGTAGGTAGAGAGTAGACTCACTGGCTGGCTGTGTGCTGGTGCTACGGGTGACATCATTAAGAGAGTATCAGCATTGTTTTTTTCCGGGTATCACATAAATAAGTGCACCAAGGAGCTTGTCTGCTCAGTCAGATCCTCGGTTATTGTCTCAAAAAAAGGCAAGATCATGCTGGGCAGAAGTCAGATTGGACAGAATCAGAGTCCTGTTGTTCACAAGCTAGCGTTATTGTACAACGGGGCAAGATTTATAAATAAAAAGCAAATTCTGGCCAATTTGGAGTGAGTTGTGTCAGAATAGATACGAGCTGGATGAATGCTTTCACTTTGCAGTTACATGGTACCAGTGGCAGTAAGGTGAGGTGGGGGCATATCTCTTAAGAAATATTGAGATGCATTTCATGAACAAAGATTAATCTATAGATTTACTGTAGAAATCTGCAGACCCATCATCATGCTTAAGAGCATCCGAGAGTTTCACACACGTTTGCTACCTGCACTTGGAAAAGTCCCTGTATCTGGAACTGAATGTGCCCTCTACCCCTGGAGAGATGCAGCCTGCTGGCCTAATCACAAAGAGTTGGCACAGGGGTTGGCGAAAGCCAAGACTTAGGGACCACAGTGTGTGCGTGAAGGAACTGCTGGAGTTTAAACCACATAGCTTGCCATTGAGAAATCTGGCTGGCAAGCTTCCCTCTGCTTGTCCGGCTAGGATCATTGTGTCCATTAGAGCTTTGGCTTGCAGGGTTAACAGGAGCCAAGTAGGAAGCATCACCCAGTGATGAGCTGTCTCTATAAATCCTGCATGCTGGCTGGTCTGTCATGAGTAGAGCTCCCACTGCTGATAACAGATCAGCCAGCCTGGAGGATTTGTAGAGACAGTCCATCACTGGGGGATGTTTCCTACTTATCTGCAGGCTCAGGAACCAGACGACCAAGACCAACATGGAGAGTTGACTCAGTTCTGACATTTTGTTGCTGTGCACTTCACCTTGGAGCCAGCTTAGCTCCATGAAGACCAGGTTTACCTCCCCCGCAAGGAGGATAGTCACTTTTTTGTTTTGAGGCGTAAAAGTGGCATTTCAAAGCTGCACAACAGGATCAGCCCTTGTTGTGCCAGGACTGACACAGTGATGAGTTTATGCCAGCTATAGTTTAGAATGAAAATCACAGCATTTTGTAACACATTATCAAATATTGCAAATTTCACCTCACTGTTTTCAGGTGTACAGCCAGAAGGTTCATGTTGGAGAGTATTATTCTGAAAAAAATAGCTACTGGGGAAAGCCATCACCAGGCTCTGTAAACAAGAGTGAGTTTTAAGACATAATGAATCATCTCCACTGAATGGAGTGGCGTTTGTAAGGTTAAAAGCAAGGTAGCCTTGGGGACATTTGGCTAGGAATGCTAATCACTAATACTGAGCATTCAGAGCCAGCTCCTGGGGTCTGTAATTTCAATATGATTCTCCTTATGTGAACAAATGGGATGTTATTGGTAGCGATGTCAGTGGCAGTGAGGTTCATGATTGGCAGAATTCCCAGGATTTTCCGAATAAGGTTAGACGCTATCGGTGCCTGTGTGAACAGAAGAGCTTCACAGTGGTTACAATAAACTCTAGATTTCAGTGCCATGTATCAGAAGAACATTATTAGTTTTGTGGCATGATATAATTCTATGCTCTTTTCAAAGAGCTGCCACAGACACGATGGGCCGTATGGCCTCCTTCTGTGCGGTATAATTCTATGATTCTATGACATGTGCCATTTTAGTGTTATTTTCTATAATGGGGATATACAAATTAACATTTCATACTTTTCAGCACGTTACATACAGAAGAACTGAATTACTCCTGTCACCCTGATTCCATGGTATTTTTCTTTCAGTAACTACAGTGCACTAGTTGGAGTTTGGATTTATGGCTTTTTTGTCTTAATCCTGCTTGTACTGGACCTTCTCTACTATTCTGCCATGAACTATGAGATCTGCCAATTTTACTTGTCCAAGTGGGGAATCCGGGGTAGTTGGCTGAAGCAAGCAGAGAGCCAGTTGAACAGCCCAGCTGAGGAACAGGCTGAGGCTCAGTCATCACAGGCAATGCAGACAATCAAGACAGGTGTTCAGAGCCCAGCACTGATGTCTTTTCAAAGTTCAAGTGCATGGTAAGTACCCAGAGCTCCAGTGTTATACTTTGAACAGCTCCACCACAAGATGTCTTTCTCGTCTCATGGGCACATTGAAAATTTTCCAAGAAAAAACAAAACACTTTACCCCCACGCAATACAAACACATACATACAACAAACACTGGTTTCCCATAGGTGCTATTGGTAGTAGAGACTCACATTGCCCATGAAGGAGAGTTTATCTGGTAAATGAAAACTGTTGTCTTTTCGAATAAATAATATTGAGCCCATAGTGTAAACAATTGGTATAAATAAGCCTCTGTTATACTAATAATCATAATAATTGCATTTGATATGGTGCCTTATCACATCTCCAAGAAGTCTCAATGTGCTTCACAGAATATACTGTAAAGTGAATTGACTGTATTTTGTGAGCGAAACCTGGCAGCCATTTACGCACAGTAGTGTCCCACATACAGCCATGGATTGAGAGATCAACANTTTTTTTAAGGGATTATTATCCTCGGAAAGGCAATCCGCCAATCGACTAACAACCAAGTTCCTACTTATTGCTAGGTAAACAGAGGCTGAAGACGTTTCTTTTTGACCATGCCTTTGGTCACCTTCCTCCCTCTCCCCCTGGCTCGGCCCCGGGATCCGTTACTGTGAAGCACTCTGTGATGCTGTCCGGCGTGGAGGGCGCTATATAAATCCAAGTTGTTGTTGTTGAGTAAGGAAACTTGCCTAACGTTCTGCGCTGCCCAGGAATCAAACACGGGTCCTATCGCTTGCGAGGTGGGTGCTCTAACCAATAAGCAGCAGGACTCCACAAGAGGGAGAGGGCTAAAAAAAAACCTCAGAGAGAAATGGATTGCTACCTTAGAGTTATGTGGCATTTTTGCCCTAGGGGCGTGAAAATGGTAACTTTTGAAGTGTTTGATGTGTTTAACTATCACCAGTGAGAATTATAACAAGGCCAAAATAACATTTACCTCACCTGAGATTCAAGGTGGCATCAATCTCAAGTTGAAAGTGGAGACTGCAGAAACCACTAACTGAGATGGTTGCGCTGCCCCCGAGTGGATGTTTATGTTGAACATCAAATGGGCATAAATTCTGTGCTTGTGATAAATAAATAGCCTTGCCATCAATACTGGATACCATCAGGGAAACTTGATATGAGGGGGAAAATGACCATTATAATGCATTCATGTAAATAATCATGATTGAATTTTCTCCTGTCATCCAACTAGCCTGCTTGGAAATTGAATACTGACTATTCTGAGTTAGATGATTGGACAAGACAGACAGCAATGGAGAGAGGGTAATAATCAATAGGAACAGATAACCAAGAACAGTGGTTTAGGCCAGGATATTGGACTCATTTAAAAAACACTTTAGTGCTGTGGTGAGAAGATGAAATCAAATGGGCCAAAGGATCTTCTTCATCTGAACCTCTCTTATGAAACTGAGACTCCTTCCATCTATGACAGCAGGAAACTGGCAAAAGCATAATGGCACCATATAAATACACAGGGGTACATTGCTCCACACAGCCCAATCTTAGTCTCACCCCAAAATAAAAGAACTTTGAAATGAGTCAAAGACAAATTTTCATGAGCAAAACCAAAATGTCCGTAATTCAGGCCACTTGATATTTGAAGTCAACAATTTCAGTTGGCACTCAGGCCAAATGATCCACTGCAAAATCTTTAAAGCTTACAATGTCCTGAACTATGCAGCTTTGAGGCATTTATATCAGTGAAGCACAGCTGCATAGTTCAGTGTAGCAGCTGAGCTGTGTCAAGTTTTGCGGGAAAGAATATTCACAGTGTTATTATGAATTGCCAATGCTGAGCAAATGGATAGTCTCTCGTGGATGGTAATGGGGAAATGTCACAACAAAACAGCACTAAAAGGCATGAACTCATCTCACAGTTTATTTTAATTGTAACATGAGGAGGACAAGTAGCATTTATTGTCCCAAAATTTACTTTTTAAATGTATTTAATTTAGCTTTTAGCTTTACATAATGAGGGCTTTTTCTCCCCCCGACCATAGGAACAGGAGTAGGCCATTCAGCCATTCGAACCTGTTCCACTATTTAATTTATATCAGTGAAGCACAGCTGCTTCACTGATATAAATTAATTATAAATTACAAGACCTGGAGTCCTGTAGCTCAGTGGTTAGAGCACTCGCCTTGCAAGCGAGACACTTGGGTTCAATTCCAGGCAGGGCGAAACCTTGGGCAAGTTTCCTTACTCCACACGCCTAATAATAATCCCTCCAAAAAAACAAAACAATAATAAATTGGTCATTTTCAATCCACGACTGTTTGTGGGCCACTGCTGTGCGCAATTGGCTGCCACGTTTCACCCACAAATACACAGTTAATTCACTTTACAGCATACTTTGTAAAGCGCTTTGAGAAGTCTAGAAGACGTGAAAAGCACTATATCAAATGCAAGGATTATTATTAATTAGATCATGGATGATCTGTACCACATCTAATCCTTTCAATTCCAATTTCACTCTTTCTCCCCATATCCCTTGATACCCTGACCTACCAAAAATCTTTCAACCTCACTCTTGAAAGTGTCAATAGATCCAGCATCCACAGCCTTTTGGGGGAGAGAATTCCAGATTTCTAGCACCCTTTGAGTGAAAAAATGCTTCCTGATTTCACTCTTAAATAACCTGATTCTAATTTTAAGACTATGCCCTTTTGCTTTGGATTCTCCCCACCAGAGGAAACAGCCACTCTGTATCTGCCCTATCAAACCCCTTTTCATCTTAAATACCTCAATCAAATCACCCCTCAACCTTCTAACCTCAAGGGAATACAATCCAAGTTTACGCAGTCTTAACCCTTTTAGGCCTGGTAACATTCTGTTGAACCTGCTCTGCACACCCTCCAGGGCCAACATATCTTTCCTGAGGTGTGATGCTTAAAACTGAACGCAGTACTTTTGCATTTTAGGGGTATGTACTCATTCTGTATTGTAGTTTTTTGAATACTTCCCATTGTTCATCTGCAGGTTTACCCACTAACAGTTCAGCCCAGTTAATTGTGATCAATATATTTCTCATCCCATCAAAGTTTGCCTTACTTAAATTTAAAACCTTTGTTTGGAACTCTCCCTTCTTCTCTCAAATTTAATATCAAATTCAATCATATTATGATCACTAATTGCAAGATGTTCCCTTACTGTCAGATTGTTAACTAGTTCTGGCCCATTACTCATCACCAAATCCAGTATGGCTTGTTCCCTTGTTGGTTCTAAACATATTGTTCCAAAATAACTGACCTGAATACATTCTAGAAATGTATTGCCTTTACTACTTGAGGTGTCCTGCTTTTCCCAGTCTATATGAAAATTAAAATCTCCCATTATAACCACATTGCTTTTGCTCCATGCTTCCCTAATCTCCATATTTATACATTTCCCTACTACATCAGAACCCTCTGGAGGTCTGCAGATTACTCCCATTAGAAACTTACCTCCTTTGCTGTTCCTTAATTCTACCCAGTGTTTCCACTAGCTGATCGCCCTTACTGAAATATTTCCTCTTCACTGCTGTAATAGTGTCTTTTATCAATATTATCACTCCTCCTTCTTTCCCAATGTCCCTGTCTTTTCTAAAGATCTTATAGCCTGGAATAGTTAGCTCCCAGTCCTGCCCAGCTCGAAACCAGGTCTCTGTAATGGCCATTACATCACACCCTTGAAGCTGAATTTGTGCTTCTAACTCACTTGTTTTATTTCTTATGCTACATGCATTCGTACACATAACTTATTTGGGTAACTGTCCCCAACATCCCTATAAGCCTTGGAGATGTTCTTCTCACACTTGACTTGTTACACCTTTTGAGATAACTTCCTATTACCTTTTTCTTTCATGTAGTATTTATGTTATCTTTATCACTATTTGTATTCTAACCGTTACTCTCATCCTCTCCTTACCTTACGTTTTGGTTATTGTTTCCACCCAAACTCCCCCCCACCCCCTTACTGGTTTAATACTTTTTCTACAGTCTTCTGTATCCTTTTTGCTAGTACCTTGGTCCCAGCCCTGTTCAAGTGTGTCCCATCCCAGCAGTACAGCTGATTCCTGTTCCAGTACTGGTGCCAGTGTCCCATGAAATGGAGCCCCTCCTTCTCACACCACTCTTTCAGCCACACATTCATTTCCCTGATCTGTTTATCTCTATGCCAATTTGCACATGGCTCTGGTAGCAATCCAGTGATTGCCATCTTCGAGGTCCTGTTTTTTAATTTAGCCCCTAGCTCTTGATTCTCCTTTAGCAGGACCTCCTTCTTGCTCTTTCCTATGTCATTGGTTATCGCATGGATAACGACAAGTGGTTCTTTCCCCTCCCTTTCCAAGTTCCTTTCCAGCTGCTTTGAAATATCCTTTACCCTGGCACCTGGAAGGCAACACACCCTCCTGGACTCTCGATCTTGACTACAGAGAATCCCCTGATCCCTTTAATTATTTCATCCCCTACAACGTTTCTATTCTGCTCCTCCCTCGTTTGCACTGTCTTCTGCTCTATGGTGCTTCGGTTTACATTCAGGCCTCCTTTCCCACAGACTTCTCCCTTATCCAATGTAGCAAGTACATTGAACCTGTTGGACAGTACCAGTTCATCTTTCTCTGTCTCTACTAAGTAAATGCTATCCTGCTGGCTATCAATCTCACATTCCTCTTCCTCTCTCTGTGGCGTGGCTATGTTCTGAAGTAAACTGTCCAAATATTCCACCCCCTCCCTTATGCGTCGGAGTGTCTCTAACACGACTCCAGGTCAAAAATCCTGAGCCAGAGTGACTCAAGACACACGCGCTTCTCACAGATGTGACCATCAAGGACAGTCTTACTGTCCACAAATTCCCACATACTACAGCTTTGACACATTACCTGTGTTGCCATTATTCCTTTCTAGCTTCTACTCCACTTAATGTTTAGGGTCATTTATCTATTTTTTTTTTAATTTACGAGGTTTTACCTTCACCTTTTATTTGTTTTTAAGTTT